CATATCTCTTTTATCCAATAACATGTTAAATCTCATTATGAATAGGATAAATCATTTAATTACCAATTCAAAGAATATAGGATAATTAGAATAGATTAGGATAACAATGTAATATTCAAAAAAGTTAAGGGTAATATTGACTATAGAAAGATTTTCCCAAACTCGTACTTTTAAAGGGAGTATGATAGTGATATAATATCACTATGTACATATCTTAGACACATTGTAGAGTTTCCAGTAAATTACCTCTTTAATGCTCCTTCAGTGGCGGATCTACAACATTTTTTGTGGTGGTTCAAAATATACACTAAATTTTTTTCTCAAATAATAGCAGGTGGAAAAAAAAATGAAGGAAGGGTTATTAAAGAGAAAAACAATCATTTTTAAACAATGATTTGACTTATATATATAAGAAACAAAAATATTTATAGAAGGCCTTAAAGAGGTAGACAGAACAAAGGGATAAAATGAAAGGAAAAGAAGAAGAAGAAGAAGAAGAAGAAGAAGAATAGAGGGGAGGTAAAAGGAAAGAAGCCTAAAAGAGAAATTTTCGAAGGCTGGATGGTTTGAACTCCAGACCTCTTACAAAATGTTACCAACTGCAATACCACTAGGCTATAGAGAACTTTTGTATGAGGTGGTTCAAGTGAACCACTTTGAACAAGGGTGGGTCCGCCACTGTGCTCCTTTATATTACTGGGAAAGATATGCGCTCCCCTTTTAGTACTAAAATATTTCATGCATTTGATGCATATATATTTCATTCACAAAAGATATTACTTTCGTTAATTTCCTTTTTCACAAAAAGCATTCCACTGCAAGAATCTTAGAAAATGTGTGAATACAACTTTTGGACCACTTCCCTTTTCCTTTACCCTAAACCTTAGTCTTGGTTTGGTGTGAGGAGGGTTGAGGTGATGGACAAACGAAAGAGAACTTTTGAGGGGGGAAGTGATGTGGTGTGAGATTGGGGTGTAATGGGAGAAAATGTGAAATGAACGAAAAGTGTAGAGGGACAAATATTCTTTCAATTTGGAGGAATACATGAAAAGAGAATATAATTATTCTGTAATGACTCTATAATTTACTAATTTTTTGTGATTACCCAATTGTCCGTTGTATTAAAATATTATGTTTCTTTCTCAAAAGTATATTATTGTATTTTAACTAACTTATCACATCACCTCTATTTTCGTACCCCTCAATCAAACAAGAAAAATTATGTATCTCCTTTCACTTCCCCTCCAACCAAATAAGAATCACAAAAAGGTATGTTTTTCTCTTGCACTTGGGGCTGTTTGGTTCCCTGTTTTTGAGGGAAAGCTCTCTTGAAAATCTGTCAAAGGTGTCCCTTTTTGGTAGGCTTTCAGGCAAAATCTTCTTTTTTTAAAGACGATTTTGACTGAAAACCTGCCAAAAAGTAACATTTTTGTCACTTTTGACAGGCTTTCAAAAAAGTCTTTCCCTCAAAAACAGGTAACCAAACAGCCACTGAATGCATCTTAGCCCACATCACTTTCCCTCCTAGTACTCCCACCAAACCAAGCTTTAGTAGCTATTTGTTTTTGTGGATTCTCGCGAAAAATATGGACTTCACTGTACTTTTGTCACTTCAACTTTCACAAGCTTAGGTAGCTGTTTGTTTTGTGGATTCTCGCGAAAAATGTGCGGTTCACTATCCTTTTGTCACTTCATTTTTCACTCAACTGGTTTCTCTATTTGGCTAATGGGCTTGACAATTGGATTTCATGGGAAAATCTTCTAAAAGTTTCACGAAACCTCTAAGAAGTTCGGCCTATTGTATGATAGCTATCAAGGCTTTTGAAATGCCATTTTAACTCTCAAATGAGTTTGACCGACTTCTTCAATAAAGCCTCATGTTTATGTTCCACCAACTTAAAACTATAATATTTGTCTCCACAAGCTCATCTGGGTTATGCTGCTTGGGCACATAAGACCCTCTAGTTAAATGAGAATTGTCTCAAATTTCTCATGGAAACAATTAAATAAAGGAAATAATTTCGTGTGGCTCAATTATGTAATTTAAGGAATTTTCTGAACAACTAGTAGATACAACAAATTTTTTTCATTTTAAAATTTTACTAATTAGGTTAAGAGTCTTTTCTAAATTCACTCCTTTTTAGAAAACTTTGTTAGGTTTATTTCTTTAGTATAACTTGGTTGTAACAGTGTTTCTTTTAAATCTCCACTTGATGATGTATATTATCTATGAACTTTCTTAATACTTACATTTATGTACCTTCAGCTTTTATTTTATGTGTCATTGTGACCATAAGCAATGTAAGCTACAAATTATTGGAAAAGATTATTCACTTATAAACCATGAGCAATGTAAGCTACACATTATTCGAAAAGATTATTCGCTCATATAACAATCAATTTCTTCAATGCCTCAAATCTAATAATAACAGATGACACAAAATTCTTATATATGAAGTAAAAATGAAAAGGGAAAAAAAATCTTCTGTTTTAATCCCTAAAGACTATAGAATAAGAAAACCTCTCCATAAGTTTGCGAAGATAACCACATTGAGCTATTAGGTTGCTCAATTCTTATTATTTTAAAATTAATTCATCAAATCATTGAAATAGCTATTACATCCGCAATTCTTAAGTTATTATTTACACGTGCAATGCATATTATGTTTATAATGCTAATGTGCTCTAAGCTTTTTTCTACTCTTTAGTTGTTTACCAATGCTAATTAGATCATTTTTTATTAATTGGTATTGAATGGAGAGAGCTTTAATTTTGGAGTTTAAGCTTCTTTTTACTCTTTAGTTGTCAACCAATTCTAATTAGATCAATTTTTTTTATTAATTAGTTTTGAATAGAGAGAGCTTTAATTCCAGGAGTTTAATTTTAATTTAATGGCTTTAGTTGATAACCAATTATATTTAGGATAACAATGTTAATATTGAAAAGAATTAGGGGTAAAATTGACCAATGAAAGTTTTTGAAGAACTCCCATTTTTAAAAGGGAGTAATATATATACAGTATATATATATATATATATATATATATATATATATATATATATAATATTATATATATATATATATATATATAGAGAGAGAGAGAGAGAGAGAGAGAGATTTAATGGGTATCCTCGTCATAGGAGAGGATTTCCTCCTTGACGCCTCTAAAATCACATGATTGAGCGACATTATGGATGATCCGCTCCGTTGAACTGGATTTACATATTCTAAAAACCCTAACACATCTAAGTTTGGGTGAATCCGTCGTCGTTTGACCCTCCATCGAGCGATGTGAAAAGTTCTATTCATTCAAAACCGTTAAAATTAATACAGTGCATGAATGGTCAAATGATGACAGATTCACCCAAAACTTGGTGTGTTGGGTTTTTAGAAATGTGATCAAGTTGAACGGGGCGGGATCATACCACAATGTCGCTTAATCATGTGATTTTAGAGACGTCAGGAGAAAATCCTCTCTCTATGACAAGGAGTACCCATTAATCTCATATATATATTATATATATATATAAATATATATATATATATATATATATATATATATATATTATATATATATATATATATAATATATATATATATATATATTAATGGGTATCCTTGTCATAGGAGGGGATTTCCTCCTATGACGCCTCAAAATCCACATGATTGAGCGACATATGGATGATGCCCTCCCGGTGAACTTGATCTACATATTCTAAAACCCCAAACACGCAAGTTTTGGGGTGAATCCGTCGTCGTTTGATCCTCTATCGAGCCATGTGAAAAGTTTTATTCATTCAAAACCGTTAAAAATTGATACGAGTGGATGAAGGGTCAAACGACGACGGGTTCACCCAAACTTGGTGTGTTAGGGTTTTAGAATATATAGATCAAGTTCAACGGAGGGCGATCATCCACAATATCGGCTCAATCATGTGATTTTAGAGACGTCATAGGTAGGAAATCCCCTCCTATGACAAGGATACGCCATTAATCTCATATATATATATATTTATATATATATATATATATATATTATATATATATATATATATATATATATATATATATATATAATATATATATATATATATATATGAAGAAAACGGGAGCCGTGGAGTCTGGCAGCGGAAATTTCTACGCTGGCAACGTGTATGACATGTGAGTCCCACACGCATGCTGCTAGTAGCGGGCGTCACATGTCATACACTTGCCAGCGTAGGAAATTTCCTACGCTGCCAGCTTCACCTCGCCCGTTTTCTTGCATATATATAGATATATATATATATAAATATAGTATATATAATATATAACCTAATATATACTAATATATAATATATATATATAGGTAATATGACAAATGAATACAAATGGAAAGACACATTACAAACCGCGAAAATCCTGATGCTATAATTAGATTTTTCTCTTCAAACCCTCCTCTACAATTAGAAACAAATTTAAATTACATTCAGCCCTCCAAAATAAACCAAATCTATATCCATAATGGCATAGTCCCCCAGATCTCGTGCCCATCTGTACCCGAAACCCCCGGATCCGAACCGCTCCCCCTTTCCACCTCCATAAATATCCGACACCCAATTGCGTGCTCACCCCAAACTCCACCCGGAAAAAAAAAAGAAGAAAAAGAAAAAGAGAAAGAATCCATGGCGCCTTTCTCTCTCCTCTTAGCTCTAACTTTCTCCTCCTCCCCCTTTCCTCCTCTCCCCAAATCCAATGCCTCGTCCAAAACCCTAAACAACCCGCCTGCTACTCAGCCCTGCCCAATGAGCTTCCCCACCTCAGCGCCCCGCCCTCCACTACACCTTCAACCCCTCCGCCCCTTCCTCCCTACACTGGCCTTCTCGGCCCCACCGGCGGGGACCCCAGCGGCTGGATCGCGTGGGGCCCTCAACCGCAGCGGGCACCCGGCCATGGCGGTTCCAAACCCTAGTCGCCTCAAGCAGCCCGACGGCAGAAATGGGGCGTCAAAGCACCCTACAACATCCACGCCGCTACGCCCCGCTTCAGGAGGGCCCGATTTCGTATCGGGTTTCGGGTCTTGAAGCGGAGTACGATGGTGGGGTCATGAGGATCTTTGCCACGTTGCAGCTTGGGAAGGGGGAGGGGGTTGTTAATGAGGTGTGGCAAGTGGGGTCCAGTGTTGTGAATGGGGTGCCTGCTAAGCACGCGTTTGCCCCGGAGAATTTGGCGGCGAGCGGTACGTTGGATCTGATCAGAGGAGAGAGCAGTGCTGGAGGTGGAGTTGATTCCACGTTGAAGAAGAAGAATGTGAGTTATTATTATTATTATTATTATCATCATCTTGCTGATTATGGGAATTTGACTGTTTTAACGTAATTTTACTGTGTTTTAGTAGAATTTGGGAGAGGAGGGTATTTAAGATATCTAGAGTTTTTTGTGGGTCTGATTTTTCTTGACTTTTAAATTGTTATTTTGGTAATCTCTGAAGATGACCGTGAGTAAATTTTATTTTTACTCGAAATAAGCTGATTCGAGAAAAAATTTCCGTGTTTTTAATTATTCTTTATAGAGTTAGGCAGATGGGTATTTAATAATTTTACCATTTTTTTCCAAATTAAAAAAAAAATATTTGGTTGTTAATTTTACCATTTTGTTTACCGTGGTGTTTAGCAAATTTAATTGTTTTTTAGTTTTTTATTTCTATTTTATATTTTCAAGTGGGTATTTAGAAAATGTTAAAAACTTAGGATTTTTATGCATGTCGGTGGATCTATGAGTTTTATCCAAAATTATCCGGATGTTTATTGCTTTTTTTTTAAACTGGATTTTGACCGACGGCCGGTAAGTACGCGTATTTTAAGTTCATTTCTTTGATTCTTGGAAGTGGATTATTTTGGGGAAAGTTTCTTCTCTATGTGGGATTTTTTTTTTCTATTTATTTAAACAGGGGAATTACTAGTTTATACGATTTATTTATTTGTTGAAATCTTTCCTTGGAAAAGAGAATTTTACTCCAAATAACTTATGATCATGATCTAGGGTGAGTCGGACAAAATCCAAGTTGACATATAATTTTTTGAATTTTCTTTTCTACTATTTGGTTAAGGGCAAAGATTGCTAGTTTGGCTTGTGCTGTTTGAAGTTTATATGCTTACATGTCGATATGAAATTATAAATTAAGCTAAACTAAAATTTTCAAGGTTACTATATTATTACAATTAAGTAGAAATAGTTAATATTATAATATAGTCTTCTGTTATGCAGGTTTTTAATTGGATCAAGGGATTTCTTTGTGATGTCATTTGATTTTCTTAAATTATTACATAAAAATCCTTGTGTTGGAATTGTTCTCGTGGCTACACTGTGCTTGGAGTTTTCCTCTTAACCTCATATAGTATTTAGCTGTACGCGATGGTGATTCTTTTGTTATCTTACATTGATTCTTTTCATCTCTCTTATTTTGGCTTTGCTTTGTACAGTTGGAAGTGTCCATCATTTGCTCTATCTTGCTTTATTCTGTTTCCACAAACTGAAAGATGATCTCGTGGGCTTCCACCGCTTTGTTTTCATCATATATGCATCATGGTGACATCAATAAACTACTTTATATTCATTCTTGGTAGGAGTCTTAGTTCTAATGTCATTATGCAGTAATCTGATAGCTATCAATATCAGTATCAGGAATCACTCTCATTAGCCCAGCTTGGGATAGTGGTCACCGTTCTTATATCAAAATGTCAATATAATTACCTGGTAGAATGAAGTCAATGATGATTGGTTGAGGTCTTTGGTTGAGGTCTTTGCTACACTGAAAGCATCCAGTGGTCCTACCCCCTATATAATTTGGGCTAATTGCAGATGGACCCCTGTATTATTGTCAAATTGCGGTTAGATCCCTCGTAATTTTATTGTTGGACAGTCCCGAGTGTTTTTTTTACTCTTTTACCCTCATAACGTCTATTTGTCAAAAAGCAATTTTCTCTTTCTGTTAGGGTAAAGAAGTGAAAACTTCCCCTCAAGGGGTCTATCTCAAGGTTTTAAATATCGGTTATCGGCAATTTATCGGACGACCAAAATTCTTATCGGATAGCGGAAATCGGGGATATATCGGGGATAAGTAGTATTTATCGGAGTGATATACTAGATGGTGTATATATATAATATAATAACTAAAAAATGTAATCTAACCATGCTTAATGAAATATAAACATACCAAAATGTAAATCATCATGTTTAGAATCACTAACCAATTGTAGAAAGCAAAACTTACATCTTGACCGCACCATGAAACCATTCGATTGCATAGCCTTACTTATCGGCCGATAATCCCGATAAAAAAACCTTACTTATCGGCCGATAAGTACCGATAACGCCGATAACTCCCCGATAACTTGCCAAAAACGATAACCGATTAAAAATCCAAGTTATCCTATCGGAGAGCTCCCAAATCCGATAACTCGGCCGATAATATCGGTTATCGGCCGATATTTAAAACACTGGTCTATCTGCATTCTACAACACTAGGGGGATCTATCCACAACTAACCTACTAACATCTACCAATTGCACGATGACCCTTAAAACAATGCATCAGTCCCTAGCTCCCCTTTGACACTGATCCAAAGACGGCCAGTCTTTTCATGCACAGCTAATGCAGTGAATATGGACATTTGGTACTCTCTTGTGCTGCATATATTTGGAGTAAATTGTTTGATCAGCTTACCTTGACATACCAAACTTCCTGACACTTTGAACAAATGTGCTACTTTTATGTATGTTACTCCTCTGTTTGTTATGGCCTTGATGCATAAATTTGTGTTCTCCTTCTTAATCTAGATACATGGAGTTCTGAATGCTGTAAGCTGGGGGATTTTGCTTCCAATTGGAGCCATCATTGCTCGGTATCTAAAGACGTTCAAGTCAGCAGACCCAGCTTGGTTTTATCTTCATGTCTCATGCCAGATTATCGGTTATGGCGTTGGAGTTGCTGGGTGGGCAACTGGGCTTAATCTTGGAAGCAAGTCGAAGGGAATAGTATATAGCACTCATAGAAACATTGGGATTACTCTCTTCAGCCTTGGTACCTTGCAAGTAAGAAAACTAGACATCACTGCTTATCTAATATCATACTTGTTAGCTAATTACTAAAAGATAAAAAAAATGCTTCGACTTAATAAGTAATTCATAGTCAAAGCCTTTAGCGGAGACATTAGCAGTTGGATTTAGATCCTTCAGAGGGTGTTCAATCACCCCAATTCTCACTGTCCATTCCAATTTAAAGAGATAATACAAGACCACACAGAATTTCCACTATCGTAGTAGTGGTTTTTAAGAAAATAGTAGGAATTTGACCCTTGAAATTGGAATGAACGTTAAGGATTAGGGTAATTCGGCTCTTTCCACTCAGCCCTTAATTGAAGAGGATATGGAGCCTCAGCAGTGTAACATTAATAATGGCTGCTATGATTATACTACGTTAATAATTGCTGCTATGATGAAAGTACTAATGCACCAGCTCCTATAAGCACAACATAATTGTTGGGCAATCATTGTAATAGAATATGTGGATCCTTTGAAGTCCCATGTATTTTACCTTTATATTTGATTTGGACTAATGCTAAATTTATTATTAATTTCATACTACTTTGGTACTAAAAAGATACAAACAAGTGGGTTCTTTCGTCATGAATTGTAGTTTGGAGTCACGTGTTCCTTTTTTTAATGATGTTTGAGTACTCTAGTTCTAGGTTAGTATGACATTACCATTGCAATTATCATTGCTCCTTGATTTAATAGGGGAAATAAACCTTGACAGAGTAGTAAGTTGGAAAAGGGATTTCAGGTTGCTTCATCCAAGGATTTAACGCTTTCTTCTTATTGTTTCTCGTGGACTGATCTCTTAGTTATTAAAAAAAAACACTATACTCTATCTCTTGCTATATTCTTCTTCAACATCTCCAATTGATTTTCTCGCAAGCAATCATGTGGTCCTAAGAGTTGCGGCTTTGGCATGAGCAAATCATCATAATACTGAACAAGGATTTGACTTTTGACAATTGCAGCTATTTGCATTGCTTCTGCGGCCAAAAAAGGATCACAAGTATCGCCTCTACTGGAATATATACCACCACGCCGTAGGATACACTGTAATAATTCTCGGCATAGTCAATGTCTTCGAAGGCCTACAGATCTTGAGCCCTGAAAACAAGTGGAAAGAAGCTTACATTATTGTTATAGCTATCTTGGGCGGCATTGCTCTTTTGCTCGAGGCAGTAACATGGATTGTGAGAAAGTCTGATAAATCCTCAAAGCTCTATGATGCCTCGAATGGCGTAAGTGGATGAGGAGTTCAGCAGCCATTATCGGTGTGACCCTAGTTGTTGATTTGTTATTCTTTTTTAACCTTTTTTTTTTCCTTATAGATTTGTAGGAGATACTGTGGTGGTTGTTTGCATTGAGATTTGCCCCACTATGTACTCTTATTCCATTACATATAGTGTGATATCTACACTGGTTGTGTTCTTTTTTTGTTATTGTTATCTATAGGGGAGGTGTGTAAGCATTAAGCTTTAGACTTGCATGAAAGATTTGAATTCAAAGAAATTTGTGTAGAGGTTCCACTAGCTTCTGCAGTAGCTTAACTTGTACTTCAATGTTTCAGATGCTATAAATAATAATGCTATCGAGGCTAATTTGCTCTTTTGTACACATGGCTTTGTAATGGTGGGGAATGGGGATAATGAACTTTAAACTAGTTCAAATGGAAATCATTTTTGAGTTCTTTATGTGCTGTTATTGGTCCTTTTCTACACAGATTTTATGAATTATAATGATGCCACTTGTTCCCATTACCCTACAAGTGCAGACCTAGAACTTCTCTAAGATGCTCTCTTTCTAATCCAAGGTACCCTTTTTCTCCAAAAAAACTGCAAAGATTTAGAGTAACTAAAATTTTCCAAGGTACCCTTAGGGGGTGTTTGGTTAGGATGTGTAGTTTCGTAACTAAAATTTTCCCCACAATTTCTATAAACTGTGTTTGGCTCAAAATAATTTTACAAAATTTTTTTACATAAAGTACAGAAAAGAGTCCAATTTTACAGAAATCAATTTCCACTCAAATAGAGCGGAAATTGGGTAGAAATTTGACAAAACCTATTAAAAAACACTGAAATCCAGCATGTACCCCATTTCCCACTCTGAACTTCATTTTTGGTGTTTGATTTTTAGCGGAAAATCTAGGGTTCCCTCTGCTCAACTCCCTCTCTCGCTCCCGCCCCCAAATCCCTCACTCCTTCTCCTCTTCCTCCCGCTCTCATCCTCATCTATTGAGTTCCAGCGAGCTCGAACTTCATTTCTCTTGTGCGATTTTCGCGGAAAATCTAGGGTTCCCTCTCCTCAACTCCCTCTCTCGCTTCTGTCCCTAAATCCCTCGTGCCTTTTCCTCTTCCTCCTGCTCTCATCCTCATCTGGAGTTCCAGCGAGCTCGAACCTTGGGTTTGTGTTGATTTTGCAGTTGATTTAGAATTTGAGAACAGATCTCGTGTTCTTGTGGGTGATTTTCCAAGCTATTGAGGTAATTAAAAAACACTAAACCCTTATGATTTTGCGGTTGATCTTCCAAGCTATTTAGCTATTCGAATTAATTAGATTTATATGAACTTCATCAGTTTGGGTTGATTTGTTTGGAGTTCTTCAAATAAGCTCTGATTTGTGTGAACTTCGGCGGTTTGGGTTATTTGATTGAAGTTCATCATTTTGGGTTGATATGCCGAGTTGTTGGGGTTGATTACCGGTTGATTTTACTACTTATTATGGCTTGATATTAACCTATAGTTTTATGTCACATGTTTGATATCTCATTATGGCTGAGTTGTATAGTCTTGTGCAATCATGATTATTATTCAAAAAGGTGAGTATATAAAACACTTTAGTGGATAAGTTTATTGTTCAAAATTTTGTCATTCATCATTGTGGCATAAACGCCTTAAACTATATTTTCTTTGTGTTTAATGTAGATGGATGATATAGATGAAGAACAAATAAAGAAGATGTGTGGTAATACGTCTATATCTTCTATGGTTACAATAATAGCTTGCTTATTGAGAATATGTGCTAGGCGCAAATCAATCTGTAATGCATCAAGAGAGGATAAGATGAGGAATTTTTTTGTAGAAATACCCACTTCAAGTGTGCCTTTTAAGGATATAGTGATAGTTGTAGGTCTTACATTAGAATGAGGCCTAAAGTATTTTTCAAACTTACAGATATATTGTGAAATAATGGATTTTTAAAGGACACAAGACACCTCCAAGTTGAAGAACAACTCACTATGTTCATGACAATAGTGGGTCATAAAACAAAAAATAGAGTAATAAAGATTGAAATCATAAGATCGGGTGAAACGGTTAGTAGGTACTTTAATAAAGTCCTACATTTTATGGATGATCTTCACAATCGATACATGAAGCAAGCACCTAATGAGATTCCACCGGAAATTGCCAACAATCAAAACTATTTCCTTACTTCAAGGTAAGAGTGAAATAAATTATTGCCGTTATTGATTTGTTAATTTAATAATATGAGAAACTAATATCTTAAACAATATACTATTTTGATAGGATTGCATTGGTATGATAAATGGAACACATATTGACGCAATGTTACCCTCTAACCTAGTTGCACGCTTTAGAGAGCGTAAAAGTGTAACACAAAATGTTTTAGCTGCGTACACTCCAAATAAACTTTTCACATATGTCCTAGCTAGGTGGGAAGGTGCGGTAAATGACTATAGGATTTTACAAGATGCGTTGTTTAGACCATAACCTCACGGATTGAGAGTATATGATGGTATTCTTCCACCTTATTTAATAAATAGACAACTAAATAATATGATCGAATTGATCACAAATTTTTTTATAATGTGGGCAAATATTACCTTTGTGATGCTGGATACACTACCATGGCCGGTCATCTCTCCATACAGTGGTGTACGTTATCATTTAAATGAACAAATTGGCAGGACACCCAGAAATAGTAGGGAGTTATTCAATTTAAGACACTTTTCTTTACGATCTAAAATTGAATCAACCTTTGGTACTTTGAAAAATCGGTTCAAAATTCTTTCAGCGAAGCCTAATTATCCATTCCCTAGCGTGCACTATATTGCATAATTTAATTGCAATTGAAGATCCACAAGATGACATTTTGAATGAGAATGTTGAAATTGATGACGAGATGAAGGAGGTGACAAATGGAGATGACACAAATGTAGTTGACTACACTCAATCTAGGACACAAAGAGAGGAACGTGATGCAAGAAATGAATGGAAGGACCTTTGGGACCAACTTGCTTGGGCAATGTGAGTTGATTATTGCGCAGAGTATAAAGATGGTGATACCACCGAAATTGGCTTGTAGTTTTATTATTTTCGAATATTTCATTATGTATTTTACTATTTCATAATTGTGCTTGTATGGACAATGTAATTTATCATCCATTCTTGCAACTATGTAATTCTTAATTAACTATCTTTGATTATAGGTTCTTTCTTATTATTGCATATAGGTATTTTACTATTTTACTATTTTTTTACATATTTATAATTCTTTCTTATTATTGCATATCGGTATGTCTAACAATGAGGGAGGAAAGAAAAACTTGCCCTCTTCACCACATGCACCGCCAAATTCCTCAGGCGGTATTAATATGAACTTTATGCCATACTCACATCAACCGTTCATTCTGCCACATACAATGGCAAATTTTTTCTCACAATTCCCACCATTTGATGGGAACTATAGTGGAATGACCCTAAAACATGTATCATACACTAACTTGATGAATAGTCCCCAAGACTTAAATATCCCATCTTTGAGCTCTTAAGGCAGCGGTCCACAACAAATGTCACCAACCACTGATGAATCTGGTAGACCTCAAATCAATATCATTGATGTGAGTCAAGAGGTATCACCCTCCAAAAAACCAAAAAATTGACTCACAAGAGGAAAGTTCCTGCAACAAGAGGAGCTACTAGCCTCAATTTGAAGGGCGTTTATAATATGTGGTGACGCCCCGAGCATGATGCAGAGTTTATACCAAGTCTTGTTGAACTCGCGGATACCGGAATGAAGGTTGATAAAAACTTCAAAGCTGAAGCTTACAAAATAACAGTTCTGAAGATGAACATGAAATTCAAAACCAACTACACCCACCTTCATGTGATTAACTACATGAAAACTTGGAGATCCAAATTTGAGCTTATGAAGGCTTGCACCAACATAAGTGGTGCAGATTGGGATGAGGAAAATTGTATGGTAATCCTAGATGAGGAGACACTTAAAACATGGGCTCATGTATTAATTCATATCGTAACAATAAATTTAATTTGATTAGACTTGAGAATATTATAATTAATTTCACACCACATTTTTCACATGTTGCAGGAAAATAGCAACTCTACGCTAAGAGAATATATAAATAAGTCTCTCCTTTTCTACAAACATTTACAGAAGATCATGGGTGATGATCATGTTAGGGGTAATTTTGTTAAGCCAGTTTATGATACGATTGGCGCCAACAACGCCATTCCTCTTGATGATGATGATGGAGGCATTTCACATGAGAGTGAGACTGAGCCTCAATCTGATGCTAACACTAGCCCAAGCTCCACTTGTAGAAAATCCTAGTATGAGTCTAACACAAGGCCTTCCTCAAGCAAAAAAACCTCAAAAATCCAATAATGATAAGTTGATACGTAGCTTTGTTGAGTCAATGTCGGACTCAATTAGAAATCAACACATCATACATTGGACTGAGCAATTAGCTGTAGCCTTGAAGTCTCATAGTGACACATACAGTGATGAATTCCTCGACATGTTATTATATCACTTGTATGAAAGTGAGAAAGAGTGAAGGAGGTTTTTTTATCAAAACGAAGGAGGTGCATGTAGGCGTCAAAAAATGCTGAAAGATATCCAAATACAGCTCAAGAGGAAATCATCCAAAAAGGCAGAAGAACACAAGTCTTTACTGTCTCGCACGCGAGACAGACTTGACTGTCTCGCCGTGCGAGACAGTCTTTACTGTCTCGCACGTGAGACAGCTTTCAGATGGTCAAAACTACCTTTGCAACTGTCCTACACGTGGCCACTAACTGTTCAAGAACGTGGGAAACGTCGTGGGCGAGAATCACGTGGATAACTGCCAAAATAACGGAGTTTGAAACGTGGAAAGGCAGTTAAAACGAAAACTGCCTGCGGTTACTGTTTCCGAGACAGTATTTACTGTCTCGCGGGTCGAGACAGCAAACACTGTCTCGCCCAGCGAGACAGCAAACACGTCTCACGGGTCGAGACAGCAAACACTGTCTCGCCCAGCGAGACAGCAAACACTGTCTCGCCCGCCGAGACAGCAAATGCTGTCTCGCGAGCCTGTTTTCTGTCAACTGTTCTCGGAGGTTATAAATACTCTCCTAAGGCCATTTTTCCAAGGGGCTGATCATTTTGAGCACTTCAGAGCAAGCCAGAGCAGAGAGAGAGAGCTAAGTTCTTGGAGCAACCCCTTGACATTCAGGCTTTGACTTGATTTCAAGAAGAACGACTATCTTACTTCGATAAGATATCGTTTCAATTTCTAACTTCAATAACGAAGGAAGAATCATTAAACCTCTCACGGTTCAATCAGAATCTGTGATTTGGTGGTCCACGAGCTAACGCGCTCCCGGCACAGGCAAAGAACCCACGAAAGCAGTGATCCAACCAACGATCCTGCGTTTATTTTCTCAAGAGTTGTAATTTTCTTTTTGTTGTGTAAAAGAGTCTTATAAAAAGGCTGTTTTCTTTGAATTTATTGTAATCGACCGAAGATATAATGAATTCGACAACAAATTCGACTTTTGGCGAAAACAGTGCAGAAGAGGTTTATTGTAAATCTTGAGATGGACCAAGGATGGGATACATCCTTCCTTTGATGGATTAATGTAAATCCCCACACAAACTTATATTTTGCTAATTGCAAACTTTAGATGTTGAAATTCATGTTTCTAATTCCTACATGTCTACATGTACATATATTTTGTTAATTGCAAACTTTACATTTTGCACTTCATATAGCTAATCTTTGTGTTTGGCCATATTTATGTTGCTAATTGTTATTGTTGGCTATTTGTGCTTAGATTGAGGTAATGGTTGTTGGCTTCTTGTGGTATATAATGCTCGGTTTGAGCTTAATGACAGATGGCTTTCTTTGGTACTTAATTCTGGTATGGGTTCTTTTTGTTCATGTTTATTTAGATGGACAATGATGATGATAACGAACTGAGAATACAGGTTATATTTATTATGTAATGTTTAGGCGAGGCAATTTTGTGTGGAATGCAACCTACATTGATATTATAATGTTTGGGTGAGGCAATCCCTCAGAAGAGTAGCCTACATTACATCATAGTTTTATAGGTGAGACAATCTTTTGTGACCAATCTATTTATATCCTGAGCCCTAGTAAGTATTCATGGATTATGGTGTTGATTTTGAGCTTGTTTAGCTCTATATTGTGTGAGAATTGGTGCTATTTTGAGCACTATTTGAGTTTATGGTACTGTTTTTGATGTTATCACGCTGATTTCGAGCTTGTTTAGCTCTGTATTTTGTGTAAATAGGTTCAGTTCTGAGCTCTGTTTGAGCTGCTGGTGTTAATATTGATATTTTCATGCTGATTTCAAGCTTGTTTAGCTCTCTATTATAATATTTTTGGTTCAGTTCTGAGCTTGTTTAGCTCTATATTATGATTTTTTTGGTTTAGTTTATTACTCTGCTTGAGCTATTGGTGCTGATTTGTTTTTATCATGCTGATTTCGAGCTTGATTGGACTCAATTTGAGCTTTTGGCAATGATGATGGTCAATTAAATAAGATTACAAACTAATTTACAATATTCATAATAAGATAAGACGTTCTTTAGGACGTTATTAGAACGCAATCTACGTGAACTTGTACGTTTCAGTTGAGGCAATCAATTTTGATAAAAGACTAATAGCTGAGCTAATTTACTACATGAAAAAAAATCAAATTACGACATGAAATTGCTAATGTGGTACATGATTTTTTTAGATCATTGATTTCGATCTAACCAAAGTAAATAAACTTCTAGTCTACGATGCTGGTCAATCCCCTCTTTACCCATGTTGGGCATAGACCCATTGTTACCAACATCGTGCATGTGAGTTAAGAGATCATTCATGTTCCAATTTGTGTTGGGGATATTGTTGCAATAGGGATACTTCTACCACCCATTTTGGTCTCTAACTTTTAAAACATTGGCTCTTAGCATTATTTCTTCTTTTTCCATTATATCCCACATCTCATCATGCTCTCGATCTTCATCTGTATATGAAAATAATTCTTCATATGTTGGTTTCTATGATAGTTTCTGAGCACGTTGATTACAAAAAAGAAAAAAAAAACCCAAGTCTCTGGTCCTTGGGAAAATAGTTTTTTTAACCAAAATACATACATTTGGATTTGGTGAACCTGACGAGTCACCACGATCTCTAATACTCTTACTCATGTTTTTCAACTGTGAAAATTTTGTATTCATGGATAGTTGAGGATAGAAGGATTTTATAAGATTTGTGCATGCCAAACTAGCCATTAAAATAGCTGTTGTAAAGTGATGAATATGGTTGTTGATACTTTTCTATAAATTTGGCATATGTAACCAAACAAAAAGAAAGAAAAAAAAGAAAAACTTGCTATTTCTATAAAATAATGGGCCCGTTTTCTTGTTTTGAACCAAACAAACAAAGTACAATAAATAAGAAAATTTATACTTTTTGATTTCTCAAGACTCTTCCTACAATTTGTTTTAAGAAATACAAGGAAATCTATATCTTGGTTGTATTCCTTTTCTTATAATTTATAGAAATTGAACCAAACTCCCCTAAGAAAAAGAGGAGAGGCCCAATAATTGTGTTCACACATTGTCAAAATTCTTGCAGAGTGGAATACTTTAAAGAAGGACGTTCTGTCATTTATGAAGTTATATTTTTTCGTCAATAAAATGTGCATCCATGAAATATCTAATCTTGGTATCAAAAGAGGATCTTACATCTTTTCTATTTTAAGGAGCATTAAGAGGATAATTTTGTGTGGAGTTTCCAATATGTCGTCTAATGTATCCCTCCAAATGATACTATCTATTATAGGGGTATACTCTAAAAAGAAGAACCAAAAGACCTTAACTTGTCCTGAATGTGACACGTCAGCTTTTCCTTTGTTAAATTTTTTTGCCCTGTTTACACTCCACGTTCGATCAACTTCTAAATTTAAAAAGAAAATCAGTTTTCAATTTACACCATCCATTTCAAATAACCAACAACACTTTCTCTCCTATCATCCTCATCTATTCCATCTTGCTCGAAATATCTCCACTAATCTATGCCAAGTTGAATTTCGTCGTATATTTAACCAAATTTAAAAAAAAAAACGAAATATTTGAATTCCGTACCAAATAAGATTTCTGCCGGATTTTGATGTCATATTTCCGAAAAAAACAAAAATATTTAAAATCCATATGCAACTAGTTTGATATATTAATTTTATAGACAATTTAAAAAGCAGCCTATTGTATAGTTGACATGAAAATTAGGGCACTGAGTAATATGTCTTTGTTTTTTCCTATACATATGATCATGTGATATGTAGATCAAGATGAGCAGCAACAATCATCATATTGAATAACGTATTAACTCAGGTCACAATGATAATCTCATATCACTATTTTATTATATCATTATCATTTAAGTTCTTGAATATCATACACCTCTTTGCAACACGTAGGAACTAGGACTAATAAAAACTTAATTGAAAAGGAAAAAAAAGATTTGTGCATCTTATCTACACTAGTTTACGTACCAGTGGCAATTGATTTCTGAATTTCAAAGACTTTAAAATGATGTATCGAAATAAAATTAAGATTTTTTTAAAAATTTTTTTATTATACTTTTTATGTTTTGAACCGCTACGCGTTCATTAGGGAAGCAGAGTCAACACAAGTTCCTAGATGAAATGGATAGAGTTCTAAAAGAGACGAGGATTCGAGGCTTGAAATTTATGACTCGTGTCGGTTGGTGTTATATATAATGAGAGTAATAAATAGTGCACATTCCCACTGTAAGTATCGTGGAAGAGCGAAGATATATATATGTGATTTTGTTTTCGATACACCCCCTCCAAATTATTCATATTGTTAAATTTTCCCTTAAATCGTTGTAATCACATATTGGCCCCTTGAATTATTTCCTCCCCCAAAACATAATCGCCGGTGAATCTTGCCGGTACCCGATGACTCTTCTAATACGAAGTCGACCGATCGATTGACTGCTTTCTAACCGCCGTCACCTTGCAATTAATTTGGACAAATACCTGATCGAACCTGAGCGCTCGATATATCATCATACCATCTACGGTTCCTCATGAAGCAGATCGGTTTATAAATTGCTATATGGACATCGACGTGATATACGACTCTTGCCCCTCGATGGAGGATGCAGGGAGTTGAGAGCAAGTCCATGCGGACAAACTTCAAGATTTCCGATGCCAAGATGCATGGATTTCCGATAGTACTCCAAGTTTCTAAGAAGTTAGACAACGTATTGATTGTGTTCCCTCTAGTCACACGGAACGAGCAAGAATTCTTCAAGGCAGCGGTCAAGGGTAGGTTTGGTGTCTTTCAGCTAGAATTCTTAATTAATCCCCCAGAATATTCTAAATAGATTATGTTGGAGGGTAAACACGAGGGAAAGAAACAATTTTAGGGACCAATTCAAAATTACGATGATTCGAAGGGCAAATATTTAAATTAGGGAAGGCAATTTCTGCCCATGCCCATTTACCCACCCGGCCCGCCTATCACTTAACCCGCCCAAAACCCACCCATTTAATTAAACTAGTTTTTACACACGTGCAATGCATGTGATTTAACACCATGATTAAGTATTTTTGGCAGTTTGTGCTCATTTTTTTCTTTAAACTCTTACATCCCGATTATTTTTTTATGTTTGTTTAAATGAGATACACCCAATTTAAATTTTCATGTTGATATTTGAATTGACAAAAAACAAATATAATTTAAAAATAATTTGAATATTCATATTATTTTTGACAGATATGAAACTAAGCTTTATTTGAGAAAGTATAGCATTGCAAAGTGAAAAATATTAAAATAGTGTTATACAAGGAAGGTGAATGTTTAAAACCAATATGGCAAAATGATTGATTTAAAGTATGTTAAAATGATCTAAAAGAGAATATGAAGTTTATTCCTAATCATTGATAGACTTCATAAAAAAATATAAATTAAAGATTAATGCTAACTCTAGTATACTTTTATATGATAAAAACATCCACATAAGAATATAAAAGTACTGAAAAAAATTCATGAAACTCCCTTCTAAAGATTCCTAATTTCACTCAAAATAATTAAACTATTCTATAAAATATTCATAAAATATTATTTTTATTTCTTCTATTTTGTTTTTTATTGAGTTAAGATCAATCCTTCTTCAGGTTTATCATTTATCATTTCTCGGACAACTCTAGAGTATTGTCTTCATCATCTACATCAATTGTGACATCAGCCTAATTTTGTATTTTTTATGCTATTATCTTTTCTGGGCTCGTTAATTTTTTATCATCTCATTTAACTTTACAAAGAAGTCAAATGTACTTATGATGTTCAACACAAACTGCTCAAAATATAGACTTTGATTTTTTTTCTATTTCAATGAGAATAAATATTAATTTCATATATATAAAATTCTTTGTGTTCCTAATTTATTACTTAAATAAATTAGAAGCTATCTCTTTATTTTCCTCTAAAATGAATTCTTCTGATGTGCATCCAATAAGAATTTCTGTTATTTCAATAATATTACCTTTGCTCTATCCCTGTCATTTTCCATAAAGATCTAAACTAAATACCTGCATTATTCATTACCAATTTCTCTTAGATTATAATATTAATATTTAATTTGAAGAACACAGTATGGAATTTATGAATACTTACTAATTTTTCTTATGTCTTCCATGGAGATTTTTTCTTTGATTAGGATAAAGTTATTAAATTATTTTTTAATGTAACTCATTCAGTGCTTCATTAATAGATATGTCTTATGTTAATGCCAATTCAAGTGATTCATTGACGTTTTCTGAATTTTAGATTTATTTCCATCACTTTCCCATTTGCAATGGAAATAACTCAATTCTTTTAAAGTTATCTCTAAATATTCTAATAGTTTCTCCATATGTAATTCCTTGTATTCTTTTACCCTATAAATATTATTAACGTCAAAGATTAAAGTTTCTAAATTAAAATCAATTAATGCTAAGGTATAATATTATAGTGTTTTATCATTTCTATGGATTTAAACATCTATCAATTAATGTTACGAATGTATTTTGGCTACCCCAACTTATTACTAAAATTATATGAAATTACTTTAATTTATATAGTGCCGATAATTTTTAATCTATAATATTTTTAATACCAAACAATTATACTTTTCTTTGCCAAGTTTTAAAATTTTAGCCCATTTTTGTGGTTTTGAACTTTGAG